AATACTGGACCCTATCTTGGACCAACTTGAAAACTGGGCCCATAATCAAAAATCTAAACACATGTTTAGAATCAGCATATCAAAGAACCCCAAGAATTCAATTTTTGTTAAAATCAAACTAAGTTTAATTTTGGACCCTTTGGACCTTAATGTAGACCAAATTAAAAAAACAGGACCCAAAATTAAAAATCTAAATACACGGTTAGATTTGGAATATCAAAGAACCCCAATAATTCAATTTTAGATGAAATCAAACAAAGTTTAATTTTGGACCCTTTTGACCTCAATATGAACCAATTATATAGTGGGGTCCACAAATAAAAAATCTAAATACATGGTTAGATTCAGCATATCAAAGAACCCCATATATTCGATTTTTGTTGAAATCAAACAAAGTTTAATTTTGGACCCCAATTTGGACCAACTTGAAAACTGGGCCAAAAATCAAAAATCTAAATACATGTTTAGATTCAGCATATCAAAGAACCTCATATATTCAATTTTTGCTAAAATCAAACAAAGTTTAATTTTGGACCCTTTGGACCTTAATGTAGACCAATTTGAAAACTGGACCCAAAATTAAAAATCTAAATACACTGTTAGATTCGGCATAACAAATAAATAAATGTGATCAAAGATTTTACAAATCTAATGACCCATACTGTGCAATTAAAGATTACTTCTTGAAATTTTTCAAAATTTGAAATTTGAAAAAAAAATAATATTTGAAGAATAATTCTTTTTAATTTCTGAAATCTGAAATGAGAAAAAATTGACCCCCCACAATTTCTTTTTATCCCCCCCCCTTTTTTTCCCCAAAAAAATTCTTTCCCTCAAGATATGGTCATAATTTCAATTCAAATTTCCAATGGAGTTGGCAACCATAATTACCCATTTAAATTTACCATAGTGCTAACTTAATCTATTTTATAATAGAATTAAAAATATAGTTTCAAATCTTTCATATGGATTTTTTTGTAAAAAAAAAGATGCAACATTTGCAGATATTTTTACTGGTCTACCTTTATAAATATGCATTTCTTTAAACATAATTTAAAAGCAGTGTAAGGGAAGTAACCAAAACGTTGTATTTGGATTACCTCCCTTACACTGTTTTAAATTATCTTTATTGTTCATTAACCATTACTTTATACATAATTTAAAAGCAGTGTAAGGGAGATAATTTCAATGATGTATTTGATTTATCTCCCTTACACTGCTTTAAATTGTTTTGTACTAAAGTATTTGTCCATTAACCAGGACAACCTTGTTTTTCCCCCTTTTTTGCCCCTAATTCCTAAACGGTTTGAGCCATAACCCCCCAAAGCAAATCCTAACCATCCCTTTGTGGTATGGAAACTTGTAGTATAATTTCAGAGAGATCCATACACCATTCCACAGTTATTGTCTGGAAACTAGAAAATGCTTATTTTTGGCCCCTTTTCGGCCCCTTATTCCTTAACTGTTGGTACCATAACCCCCAAAATCAATCCCAACCTTCCTTTTGTGGTATTTTACCTTATGGTCAAATTTCAAAAAGATCCATTCACTTAAACTAAAGTTAGAGTGCGAAAACCAATGTGTATTCGGACGACGACGCCGGACGACGACGACGACGACGCAGGACGACGACGACGACGACGACGCCAACGTCATACCAATATACGACCACAAAATTTTTTTGCGGTCGTATAAAAACGGGACCCAAATTAAAAATCTAAAAACACGGTTAGATTTGGCATATCAAAGAACCCCAATAATTCAATTTTTGATGAAATCAAACAAAGTTTAATTTTGGACCCTTTTGACCTCAATATGAACCAATTTGAAAGCGGGGCCTACAAATAGAAAATCTAAATACATGGTTAGATTCAGCATATCAAAGAACCTCATATATTCAATTTTTGTTATAATCAAACAAAGTTTAATTTTGGACCCCAATTTGGACCAACTTGAAAACTGGGCCCATAATCAAAAATCTAAATACATGTTTAGATTCAGCATATCAAAGAACCCCATATATTCAATTTTTGTTGAAATCAAACAAAGTTTAAATACTGGACCCTATCTTGGACCAACTTGAAAACTGGGCCCATAATCAAAAATCTAAACACATGTTTAGATTCAGCATATCAAAGAACCCCAAGAATTCAATTTTTGTTAAAATCAAACTAAGTTTCATTTTGGAATCTTTGGACCTTAATGTAGACCAATTTAAAAAACGGGACCCAAAATTAAAAATCTAAATACACAGTTAGATTTGGAATATCAAAGAACCCCAATAATTCAATTTTTGATGAAATCAAACAAAGTTTAATTTTGGACCCTTTTGACCTCAATATGAACCAATTTGATAACGGGGTCCACAAATAAAAAATCTAAATACATGGTTAGATTCAGCATATCAAAGAACCCCATACATTCAATTTTTGTTGAAATCAAACAAAGTTTAATTTTGGACCCCAATTTGGACCAACTTGAAAACTGGGCCAAAAATCAAAAATCTAAATACATGTTTAGATTCAGCATATCAAAGAACCTCATATATTCAATTTTTGCTAAAATCAAACAAAGTTTAATTTTGGACCCTTTGGACCTTAATGTAGACCAATTTGAAAACTGGACCCAAAATTAAAAATCTAAATACACTGTTAGATTCGGCATAACAAATAAATAAATGTGATCAAAGATTTTACAAATCTAATGCGCCATACTGTGCAATTAAAGACTTCTTGAAATTTTTCAATATTTGAAATTTGAAAAAAAAATAATTTTTGAAGAATAATTCTTTTTAATTTCTGAAATCTGAAATGAGAAAAAATTGACCCCCCACAATTTCTTTTTATCCCCCCCCCCCCCTTTTTTTCCCCAAAAAATTCTTTCCCTCAAGATATGGTCATAATCTCAATTCAAATTTCCAATGGAGTTGGCAACCATAATTACCCATTTAAATTTACCATAGTGCTAACTTAATCTATTTTATAATAGAATTAAAAATATAGTGTCAAATCTTTCATATGGGTTTTTTTGTAAAAAAAAAAGATGCAACATTTGCAGATATTTTTACTGGTCTTCCTTTATAAATATGCATTTCTTTAAACATAATTTAAAAGCAGTGTAAAGGAAGTAACTAAAACGTTGTATTTGGATTACCTCCCTTACACTGTTTTAAATTATCTTTATTGTTCATTAACCATTACTTTATACATAATTAAAAAGCAGTGTAAGGGAGATAATTTCAATGATGTATTTGATTTATCTCCCTTACACTGCTTTAAATTATGTTTTGTACTAAAGTATTTGTCCATTAACCAGGACAACCCTGTTTTTCCCCCTTTTTTGCCCCTAATTCCTAAACGGTTTGAGCCATAACCCCCCAAAGCAAATCCTAACCATCCCTTTGTGGTATGGAAACTTGTAGTATAATTTCAGAGAGATCCATACACCGTTGCACAGTTATTGTCTGGAAACTAGAAAATGCTTATTTTTGGTCCCTTTTTGGCCCCTAATTCCTAAACTGTTGGTACCATAACCCCCAAAATCAATCCCAACCTTCCTTTTGTGGTATTTAACCTTATGGTCAAATTTCAAAAAGATCCATTCACTTAAACTAAAGTTAGAGTGCGAAAACCAATGTGTCTTCGGACGACGACGCCGGACGACGACGACGACGACGCCAACGTCATACCAATATACGACCACAAAATTTTTTTGCGGTCGTATAAAAATGAAAACTTTTCAACAAAACATATACCATAATTTCAGAATTTTTTTAGTTCTTATTATTGCAATTATCCTCTTTTCCTCGATTGTGAAATCATCGAATTAGACTTATGACCAAATTTGTACTTACCACAAGCAACATGATAGGTGCCAGTAGTGAGGCAGGATCTGCTTACCCTTCTGGAGCACATGAGAACACTCCCAGTTTCTGGCGGAGTTAGTGTTGCTCAGTCCATAGTTTTCTATTTTGTGTTTTTCTGATTTGTTTGTCTTTCTGTTGTTTTTGTTTTTTTGCCATGGCTTTGTCAGTTTCCCTTTTACTTATGAGTTTTTAATGACCCCTTGGTAACTCAAGCCACTATTTCTAACCCTGGACAAAAATGCAAGATTCATTATTGGGATGATAGGAAATGATGCATACAGATAACTTACTTTCAAAATTTATAATTGTGAGTTTTTATTTTTGTTAAAACTATCCCATCGCAATTTTCACAACAATAAAACATCCCTTAATTTCTGAATCTAAAGTATTCAAATGTGTTTCGTAGTGCTTTCAACCAAAATTGACTTTTGTGACTGTTTAAAATTAAGCAGGAAAAGAGCTGTCAAATATACATTTTGAAAGGGCTGAACTTCCCATAAAAAGTAAGCTAACAATAATACTCTTTTGCAGCAGTCAGGCAAAGAATAACCTGCACATTAGATCATCACTTTGCATAAAAATTGATGAATTATTAATTGATACAGCAGAAAATTCCGCTCAAACCCATGGGCCTTTTTATAACTTGCAGTGATGTGAGTGTTTTTGAAAGCCTATCTGTGACTTTGAGATGAAGAACAGCAATAAAAGTGCAGTTCCTTTGCTTTTGGTGTTTTCGTGTAAGAATAGAGATTTTGTGTCATAAATTGATACACCATATCCTTTCTTTTCTATTACAGTACAGTACAAATAAACAAGCTAAAGTAAATTAGAACAAATTATTGTTTTGTTCATTGACAGATCTTGTAATATAGGAAAATCAATTTTTACATGAGTGTATGAAATTGCCAAATGTTTAAATGGTACAAGGCATTTTTTGGCAAGGATTTTAGAGCATAATGGCACAAGTAACAGCATTAATGGTGCAATGCCCATCTAAAATATGTTGTTGAGAGGTACATTGTATGTCATATATCATTATTTTGTGTTAAACTGATCAAATAGATTCAAACAGCTTAGCACAGTTATATAGGCATCAGAAAATAAAATAGATTAAAGGTCTTAATGAGTCATATACCTGCCAAAGTCTCAGGACGCTCTGCTATTCTTATCACATTTCTATCTGTATCTTTACGTAAGATAAATATTTCGTCATTAGTTACAGCAATGTTTTGAATTGTCCCAACATGAAATGTTCCTCCTATCACAGATGTATTGTCCATATTCAAAATAAACAGACTAGAATCTGACCATGTCACAATATATTTCTCTTTATACAAATACAAGGGCCCAAACTGAGCTTCTGGCAGAAACATTCTTATTTTTCTATTAAAAGGTAACAGTTCTAATGTTGGATGAGGTTTATTCATAAGTTCTTTGAACAGATATGTGCTAATGACAGAACCATCCATTTTGGATTTCCAGATACGCAGACCAGGTCGACAAGCATATAATTCAGCATCTTCTGGTTTACAAAGTCCTGGTATAAAAACGGCACCAAACTTTCCAAATCTGCAAGAAGAAGGTTCCATTGCAGGTCAAATTGGACCTCAAATCAAAATTAATTCAAATTTTTTCCAATTTGCAAAATTAAATACAAATTCTTTGTAATTTATTAAAACATTGCAGTATTAGCTTTAAAAGTATGGTGTACCTTTTAATAAATTATACAGACTTCCTTTGGTCTCTGGTGGATAGTTGTCTCATAAGCAATCATACCACATCTAGTTTCAAATGAAATGATAATCGATTTAGTAAAATGATGAATAACACAAAATCTTGATTCTATGTCAAACGAAAGTTTTATCATTTTTTCTACCTTCAGTATGTTTTCCTGCTTCATGTTTTAAAAGGTTTTCAATCCTACAATATAAATTTATATATACATATTCAATTTTGGGCTTTACCTCTGATTGACAAAATTTGTACATCTTATGCTTTAAAAATGTTATTTAATAACTATAAGGCTATTGATAGTATGAAACTATTGACACAGATATAGTGTCTAGTCTGCTTTACAGCAACAAAAAAAAACAAAGCAAACAGTAAAATTGATAAAATCCCATATAACTGCATGTATATATGAGTGGTCATCCCATTTTAAAACTTCCAAAGGTTACTCAAATAGAAAACTTTTAACTGAACAATGAACATGTCATTATTTGAAAATCAACAAAGAAAGACTAAAAAATATAGTCCAGGCTCCAGGGCTACCAAATGAATAGAGCAAGCCTGACAATTTTTTACAATCCTGTTTTTAATTTCTTCAAACTTTGAAACTAAAGGCAATCAAGGACAATGACCGAACAATGTAAATGGCAGATAAGTAACACCTACATTGTAACTTTTCTGCTGGCAAGACAAAAATCCGGTACATCATGATTCCATTAAAATTTGTTGCTTCAATCACTTACATTTTTCTGTCTTTCTGTCCCACCTGGACCAGTGAAACTTTGGTATCTGTTCGATATAACATAGATCTTTGGTTTGTAGAGATCAGTAAAGTTTTATGAGCATGATTCAGTTGTACAATTTCACTGTTATTCTCAATCAAACAAATGTTGGTCTCACATAATCCCTGAAATATGAAAAACAAGCTGAACTCACTAATGATACCATGCTATAAAATTTCAATTATTAGGAAGTTGATGAGCAATGGATGTGAAAACACATCACATGGTATAGCATGATCACATAAAGCTTAATACCAAATTTCAGAAAGAACTGATCCATGGTTCCTGAGAACAACACAAAGAGAAAAATGTCATACAATGACATTATGTGTTGGAATATATAAGTATTAATTGAAATAACAGAAAGTTGATGAGCGATAAGTGTGAAAACACATCGCATAGTTATTTATGCTCATTTTAAGCTTAATACCAAATTTCAGGTAGCTCATTTGTTGTTCCTCAGAAAAATGTTACAAAATTTTCATGGGAAGGACCAATGGACAAATAAACAAAGTGGGGGTATAATAACTAAAAACTTTCCTTTGCTTTACATAACAACACATTAATTCAAAGTTTTAACAGAACATATGTATCAATGTGTAAAATGAAGTTCAGTAAATAACTAAGAAACAGAGTACTTCTGGTAAATCATGGTAGTTTATCAAGCTTACATCAACACTGTGTTTTATTTACTGTATCTTTTATTGGAAAGCAATATGTTATGGTAAATTTCAGAAGCAATGGCCATAATTTATCATGTTCATTTTATTAAATTCTCATCTGATGCTAAGGCAGGAAAATCCCTAGTAAGTAAGTAAGTAAATTTTATTTAGAGTCGGACATGATATGTACAATTCAACAAGTTAAACATGAGCTCTGTAGAGCTCTTAACCGACTTGATATTTAAAAACCCTCCAGTAGATTTTAAACATAAGACAGTTTTGGCTATTCTTTTTATCCAGTTGTTTATGTACAGCTCTCCATATTTATATATATCTTTGGCTTTTCAATCTAAAGACTCCAAGCATTTCTGTTGAAAACAAAATCCAGAAAAGTGCTTCATACAGAGAAAAATTTAGTATGTTTAAATTTGACCAACAGATCTTTATCTAAATATCCTTGTATAAGTATTCTTGATTGTATAGGGCATTGATTCCATAAAAAAATGCTTTATAAAATCATTTATCAATTCAAACTAATTCTATAAAAGAACAGAGTTCCAATGTCCCCCGCTTTGCACATATTTTATCTATCCAAGAGCAATAACTAAACAATTACTATTTTTTTTGTTCTTTAAAACAATTTATAAATATTTTAGACAAATGAAGGCTTCAAAGCAAATGCAATGTGATTTCCATTATAATTAATTTTTCCAAGGGCATAACTTGTTAAAAATATTTGATCGGCACTTATTTTGGAAAGTGTCAGACATTGCTGATATAAACCTATGATATAAGTTTCATAAAATTCTGGCAAGAATTGTACACATGAGAGCGCTAACAATGCAATTTTCCATATAATCAATATTTCCAAGGGACATAACTCCTTTAAAATTAATTGATTGGTACCAATTTACAAATTTGCCAAAGACATTGATGATATAAACCTATAATATAAATTTCACAAAAATCTGGGAAGAATTATACACATGAGAGTGATAACAATGCAATTTTCCATATAATCAATATTTCCAAGGGGCATAAATCTTTTAAAAGTAATTCATCAGCACTGATTTTCAAACTCATCAAAAACATTGATGATATAAACCTATAATATAAATTTCATAAAAATCTGGCAAAAATTGTACACATAAAAGCGCTCATAAGGCAATTTTCCATATAATTAATATTTCCAAGGGGCATAACTCTTTTAAAAATAATTGATCGACACTGATTTTCGGACTCATCAAAGACATTGCTGATATAAACCTATGATATAAGTTTCATAAAATTCTAGCAAGAATTGTACACATGAGAGTGCCAACGATGCAATTTTCCATATAATCAATATTTCCAAGGGGCATAACTCTTTTAAAAATAATTGATCAGCACTGATTTTCGAAAGTGTCCAAGACATTGCTGATATAAACCTATGATATAAGTTTCATAAAAATCTGGCAAGAATTGTACACATGAGAGCGCTAAAATGATGCAATTTTCCATATAATTAATGTTTCTAAGGGGCATAACTCTTTTAAAAATAATTGATCGGACTCATCAAAGACATTGCTGATATAAACCCATGATATAAGTTTCATAAAATTCTAGCAAGAATTGTACACATGAGAGTGCCAACGATGCAATTTTCCATATAATCAACATTTCCAAGGGGCATAACTCTTTTAAAAATAAAATGCTCCGCAGGGCGCAGCTTGATACGACCGCAGAGGTCGAACCCTGAACAGTTGGGGGAAGTATGGACACAACATTCAAGCTTGATACAGCTTTGGATTTGGATTGTGATTAAATATTTGACACAGCATAGGTTTCTAACACAGATTGAATGTGGTCTAAGAACTTAAAAATTTTAAATTGGACATTCACCTATTATGGTCCAATATCCAAAATCTAAATACATGGTTAGATTCAGCATATCAAAGAACCCCAAGAATTCAATTTTTGATGAAATCAAACAAAGTTTAATTTTGGACCCTTTTGACCTCAATGTGGACAAAGTTGATAACGGGGCCCAAAAATCAAAAATCTAAATACATGGTTAGATTCAGCATATCAAAGAACCCCATATATTCAATTTTTGTTGAAATCAAACAAAGTTTAATTTTGGATCCCTATTTGGACCAACTTGAAAACTGGGCCCATAATCAAAAATCTAAATACATGTTTAGATTCAGCATATCAAAGAACCCTAAGAATTCAATTTTTGTTAAAATCAAACTAAGTTTAATTTTGGACCCTTTGGACCTTAATGTAGACCAATTTGAAAACGGAACCAAAAATTAAGAATCTAAATACACGGTTAGATTCGGCATATCAAAGAACCCCAATAATTCAATTTTTGATGAAATCAAACAAAGTTTAATTTTGGACCCTTTTGACCTCAATGTGGACAAAGTTGATAACGGGGCCCAAAAATCAAAAATCTAAATACATGGTTAGATTCAGCATATCAAAGAACCCCATATATTCAATTTTTGTTGAAATCAAACAAAGTTTAATTTTGGACCCCGATTTGGACCAACTTGAAAACTGGGCCCATAATCAAAAATCTAAATACATGTTTAGATTCAGCATATCAAAGAACCCTAAAAATTCAATTTTTGTTAAAATCAAACTAAGTTTAATTTTGGACCCTTTGGACCTTAATGTAGACCAATTTGAAAACGGAACCAAAATTTAAGAATCTAAATACACAGTTAGATTCGGCATATCAAAGAACCCCAATAATTCAATTTTTGATGAAATCAAACAAAGTTTAATTTTGGACCCTTTGGACCTCAATGTGGACCAATTTAAAAACGGGGCCCAAAATCCAAAAACTAAATACACGGTTAGATTCAGCATATTAAAGAACCCCATGAAATCAAGAATAAAACCCCATTGAAATTGGTCAAGAAATAAGCAATTTATAGGAAGTATCTTCTTTTGCACAATCCTGTGCTATTAAATATTTCTTGCTATTGCGCAATACTGTACAATTGACAATTTCTTGCTACTGCGCAATATTGTGCTATTGGATATTTCTTGCTATTGCGCAATACTGTGCAATTGAAGATTTCTTGCTATTGCGCAATACTGTGCAATTGAAGATTTCTTGCTATTGTGCAATACTGTGCAATTGAAAATTTCTTGCTATTGCACAATACTTATTATATAATAATTTACACATCCTGTTTGGTGTGTATCTCCTACCATATCATTATTATTTGATTTTAAATATAAATCAGAAATAACCAACTTAAAATGGAGAATTTTAAAAGAAACAAAAAAGGAAAAAAAGAAAAAAAAGGAAAAAAAAATAAATCCCCCCCCCCAAATTTTTTGAACCCCCATTATGATTCATCACCCCCAAACTCAATCCCAGCCTTCCCTTTGTGGTATGGTACCTTGCAGTACAATTTCAGAGAGATCCATACACTTGAACACAAGTTATTGTCTGGAAACTAGAAAAAAATGTGTTTTTTGGCCCCTTTTTGGCCCCAAATTCCTAAACGTTTAGGGCAATTACCCCCAAACTCAAACCCAGCTTTCCCTTTGTGATATGGAACCTTGTAGTACAATTTCAGAAAGATCCATACACTTACACACAAGTTATTGTCATGAAACTAGAAAAATGCTTGTTTTTTGCCCCTTTTTTGGCCCCTAATTCCTAAAATTTGGAGGCAATTACCCCCAAAATCAATCCCAGCATTCCTTTAGTGATATGGAACCTTGTGGTACAATGTCAGAGAGATCCATACACTAACACACAAGTTATGTCTGGAAGTTACAAAAATGCTTATTTTTGGCCCCTTTTTGGCCCCTAATTCCTTTACTGTTATTACCATAACCCCCAAAATCAATCCCAACCTTCCTTTTGTGGTATTGAACCTTGTGGTAAAATTTCATAAAGATCCATTCACTTAAACTAAAGTTAGAGTGCGAAAACCAATGTGTCTTCGGACGACGACGGACGACGACGACGACGACGACGACGACAACGACGACGACGACGACGACGACGACGACGCCAACGTCATACCAATATACGACCACAAAAATTTTTTTGCGGTCGTATAATAATTGATCGGCACTGATTTTCGAAAGTGTCCAAGACATTGCTGATATAAACCTATGATATAAGTTTCATAAAAATCTGGCAAGAATTGTACACATGAGAGCGCTAAAATGATGCAATTTTCCATATAATTAATGTTTCTAAGGGGCATAACTCTTTTAAAAATAATTGATCGGCACTGATTTAGAACTCCTTCAAGACATTGCTAATATAGACCTATGATATAAGTTTCATAAAAATCTGGCAAGAACTGTACACCTGAGAGTGCTAACAAGACCGGACAGACAGATGCACAGACGGAAGGACGCCCGGTTTTTACATGTCCCTCGCAACGTGCTTCGCGGGGGACAAAAACTAGAAATTCAATGGCATGTAGCCCTTATTATACATCTTTGCATCTAAAAAATAAAAGTGTAGAAAAAAAAAACTTACAGCATAAAAATCCACTTCTGTACAGGATACAAGACCTTTCTTATCACCACCAAATAGTTTCATACCGTTCATACTCCAACATAGACTTGTTACTTCACTTTTATGTATGTCTTTTACTATAAATTGTTGAAGCTGAAAATGAAATACAATAAAGGGGTTAAAATTGCTTACAACTCAAAATTATCAAGTTGCAGATCAAATATAAAATAATTCACTTTCATTAAAGCCAAAAAATCTTTGTCAAAAGTTTTATACCCAAGGTCTTTCAGAACGGATGAAATGATGGTTAGAGTAGAGCAGTTCTAGACCTGTTTTACGCCATTGGCAACACAGATAAAAATAGACAACTGTCCATTACATATGCCAATCTCTGAATCATTATTTGCCTTCAACATGTAATTCTCTAAAGGACAAATAAAAAACATTAAGATATAACTGAAGACAAACACAGACATAGTTCCTGATTTCGGGAAGGCACAACAACATGCAGCAGATTTAAATAACTCAGTTTTATTCTAATTCTATCAACATTAATTGCTGTTGAAATCATATCTGCTCCTGAGTATTTTAAATGGCTTACCTGAGTTCTTATCACCAGGTAAAATATTGTTTTCCAAAACTAAGCTAGCTCCAAAGAATCTTATTGAGTGTCTATTTTAAAGAGAAAGTTATTTATTGCTATTTTACGAATTTTTCCTTTGATCTTGCTGACTGATAATTTCCGTTCTCAGCGGAGTCGAGTGAAATGAAAATTATCGCTAGAAACTAAGGGAACACGTGCCGTTGTCAATGAAATTAACAACGTCTTCATAGGTAAAATAGCGATAAACAGATTATCATTGGTCATCTCAACTCGATTGCTTTTCTCGCTTTCGCCGTACCGGCTCAAGCGAGAAAATCAATCTTGTTGAAAAAACCAAAGATAATCTATAATTATCTAAAAATACTAGAACCATGGGACATAGTAGAAAAAGAAAAAAGCCTATTTTGATTAGTGAATGTGAGCCTGTTTAACCTGGCTCAGAGTAAAATATGTTTATTGGATGCCAACATAAATACACAAATACAGTATGTTAATAAAGAGCTGCACCATGAGCGCATGATACGCACATTGCTTTTTCAAAGAATAAAGTTCCATAACTCCTCAATGTCATATCAGAAATTTATAAAAAAAACTAAAGGGAGGTTATTTTAATAGATATAAACCAGTCACCAAAGTTTCATGAAAACTGCTCAAAGCATTTTTGAGTTACTATCAGAAAACTGAAAAATCACCCTTTTTTAATGAATAAAACCCCATAACTCAGAAACGTAAAATCTAAAATTTATAAATATCGAAAGGGAGCTCACGTCAATAGATATAAACAATTCACCAAAGTTTCATGCAAATTGGTTAAAGCGTTTTTGAGTAATTGTTGACGACGAACCGACAGACAGTGGGACGGATGGACAGACGGACAGACGGATGGACAGACAGACGGACGGACAGACAGACGGACGGACAATGGTATACCATAATACATCCCGTAAACGGGAATATAAAAATATTTGTTGTGTGAGGGCTTCAAATTCTTCACTCGGATTTTTTTTCTCAGGAAACTAAAATCCATGAACATGTACCTTTTGCTCAAACCAAGAAAATTGATACCCACAAATAAAAGTACTTTCACAGTATGTGTTTCCTTTTTTTCTTTGTACTAGTATGTTGCTATCATTTCTGTCAATTGAAAGCAAAAATATTTTTTTTATTGAGATATTTTGAAAAATATTTAATTAGGTTTTGGTAATAATTATAATGTGTTTTGCCACATGCTAGGCCAAGCCCCCTTTTTGAAACAAAGAATCAAATGCACACTACATTTTTGGGGAAAATAAGCATTGTTTTCAATTGATTCATATTGTCTGGTTACAGTCATGAATTATTTCTTCTTTGCTCCTTTTTATCTACACTAAATCAGTGCTGACGCTTACTTTTAACTTCTTTAATATAATACCTAATGTGATCATCACTTGTTCTTATAAAATATATAGGATCATGAATGACGATGAATCAAAAAATGCTTCACTTCAATATATCAGATTGATAATGAATGTACCTGTTTACTTTGAGATGGCATCACAGACGGAAGCTGGAATAGATAGATCAACCCTTTCTGTGTAGCTACTGCCACCTGGTGTTCAAGCCCGGAATGTATTGCAACACATGTTATCACATCATTGTGGGACTGTGAATAAATAAATTATGCCATACAACATTATCAGCAATATGTGCAATGGAGATTGAGAGGAATTCCTCTGAAAAGTGTGTTTAATAAGTACTCAAAAGTTATCATTAGTAAGTCTGAAAAAGTTTAAACTAAAGTTTCAAAATACATGTATCCAAAATCAAACTTGTGAGATTTTGTTTCCCTCATACATACATACCTTCTTAGTTAAATATGATAGTGGTAAAAGACATTATAGACAAGGGAGAGCTGTGTGAAATAAAATTATTTTTTTTCTTTATGATTCATGGACATTCATTTGTACTTCCGCAAACATGAGCAATTAACTTTCATCATATTTTACAGTTACTAATAACATGATGTAATATAAATAAATTTGAATGTGAGGCCAATTTAAACTTATTGCATTAAATTGTTGAGTATCACACATTTGAAGACCATAAAATAAATTCAGGAAGAAGAAGAGCAATAATAGCATGGTCTGTTAATCTTCGTATGAAGATGAGTCCTGTACTTGCAAACCATAATTTTTTTTTTCTATTTGCCAAAATGATTTGGAATCTTGGCAGTAGAGTTATCCAAGAAGATGGTTGACATTTACTAGTATGAATAATAGGATATCTGGTGTACACATCAACAAGACATTAACCAAACAACACAAATAACCAAGCAACATCTAGAGATCAACATTATAATCAGTGTTGGCTAATCAGACAAATCAAAGCACCATCAATGCTGTCAGCCAGCCAAACAAATTTGATAAAATAACGGCATATCCATACTGTACATTTAAATGATCATATCAAATGATTTCTTTAAACATATTTTATTGAAAGCAGTTTTAGAATTTAAGCTCTCTTTTCAAGTTCTAAAATTGTAAATGTCAATTATTCATAATTTTGGATAACTGATATTGAAATTGTCTCCCTTTGTATATATTTGGTAAAAGTATGGGAAATCAAATTTAATGTCAAATTCATATGAATAGAGTTTCTTGTAATTATATAATGTTATGAAAGATATAGATGGACAAGAACACAAACCCCTAAATTTAAATTAACAAGAACACAAATTCCTAAACTTTGATGGACAAGAACACAAACCCCTAAACTTTGATGGACAAGAACACAAACCCCTAAACTTGGATAGACAAGGACACAAACCCCTAAACTTAGATGGACAAGAACACAAACCCCTAAACTTAGATTAACAAATACACAAACCCCTAAACTTTAATGGACAAGAACACAAACCTCTAAACTTGGATTAACAAGAACACAAAACTCTAACTTTGATGGACAAGAAGACAAACCCCTAAACTTGAATGGACAAGGACACAAACCCCTAAACTTTGATGGACAAACACACAAACCCCTATACTTGGATGGACAAGGACACCAACCCCGAAACTTTGATGGACAAGCACACAAACCCCTAAACTTAGATGGACAAGCACACAAACCCCTATACTTAGATGGACAAGAACACAAAACCCTAAACTTGGATGGACAAGGACACAAACCCCTAAACTTAGGTGGACAAGAACACAAACCCCTAAACTTAGATTAACAAGAACACAAAACCCTATAATTGTATTGACAAGCACACAAACCCCTCAACTTACACAGACAAGCACACAAACACCTATAACTTAGATGGACAAGAACACAAACATCTAAACTTACATAGACAAGCACACAAACCCCTAAACTTAGATGGACAAGCACACAAACCCCTAAACTTTGATGGACAAGAACACAAAACCCTAAAATTGTATTGACAAGCACACAAACCCCTTAACTTAGTTGAACAAGAAGAAAAACCCCTAAACTTTGATGGACAAGTACACAGACCCCTAAACTCAAATAGACAAGAACACAAACCCCTAAACTTTGATGGAGAAGCACACAAACCACTAAACTTAGATGGACAAGCACACAAACCCCTAAACGTTGATGGACAAGCACACAAACCCCTAAACTCACATAGACAAGCACACAAACCCCTAAACTTTATTGGACAAGCACACAGACCCCTAAACTTAGATGGACAAGCACACAAACCCCTAAACTTTGATGGCCAAGCACACAAACTGTTAAACTTACATAGACAAGCACACAAACCCCTAAACTTGGATGGACAAGCACTCATACCCCTAAACTTACACAGACAAGCACACAAACCCCTAAACTTAGGACAAACACACAAACCACTAAACTTTGATGGACAAGAACACAAACCCTAAACTTTGATGGACAAGAACACAAACCCTAAACTTTGATGGACAAGAACACAAACCCTATACTTTATACCCACCTGCAGCTCTAGCAAGTAAACAATAAGCAAAGGTAAAAACTTCATCCACATGTAACAATGGCCAACCAATAATAATATATTCAGCACTGAAATATATGTATTTTTAAAACCTCAGAATCAAAGTTTATTAATACCTACATGGGTCCTCAGTCTTTCTATTTCTTTGTTCTTTCGGTTATACAAAAACACAACTCCAACATTGGAACCGAGAGCAATAAAAAACTCATTAGCATCTAAGGAAATAATATGTAAATCACACTGAATAAGCATCCCCTTTTGAGCTTTTTTAGGTATTTGTGATAGTAGGTAATCAAGGGAAGCATGTTCCTTTGGGATTCTAATTTCTGGGTTTTCATCCTCAGTCTTTATATCAACAGCTGCCATCTTCCATAATCTTAAATCAACTGGAAAATACAAAATAGGTTAATCTAAATAAGCGCTTGGCACACATATTCATTGTACCAGTACTGATGATGATGATGTACATGTAAGCCAAAAGAAAAGTTGAAAGTTATCATTTTTATATTTTTGTCATTCCCAGTCTCACTTATCCCTCCTTTTGCTATGGAAAGTTAAGTTCAAAATGAACATAAATGCTTCAAATTTATATTACTAATTACTGATAGCTCAACTTTTGTTATACATTTAAACTTGTAAATATATGTTCTATTCTCACTTCATATACGTAAGGATTTGATACAATGCCAAGTAAACAATCAATGAGAGTAATTCAAAGGAGAAGGTACAAAATGTATAATGAGACCACTTAATTGAAATTGAAAATCAAAAATAATTATAAATCTATCCAAAAAAAAAATCAGATGTAAAAAGAAATACGACTGTCAGATATAAGAATTTGTATATTTGAATTTTGACTTATTTGCTTTTGGGCTTCAAACATCAAACTTACATGTATAAAAGAAAACAGCAAAAACTGCCAAAAACAGCCTTCTTTTGAGATCTAGTTCAAATTTTAACTTTTATATATGAGCCCAAAAAGAATCTTTGTGCAAGAACTTTTGCTCAAAGATGTCAATGTAGGCAAAATATATTTTTATATACATGAAAGGCTGTGGTTCAAATCAGAACTTTGTGTAAATAGTAATTTTAGGTAAATAACACCATGTATTTATGACATCATAGCAACATTGAAACAGATATTTCAACACTAAAGTATCCAGATTATATATCACCCTATTCATTTAATAATATAACAAGAAATGATTGTAACAGGATGCTGTTACGAAGTCTCCCAAACGAAGCTCCCATAATTCTTTATTCCCAGGGTCGCCTGACATTGGGCAAAGTCCAGTGAAAATTGGTTTGGTCCAGCAAAGTTATATGCATTAGTGATGCCTGGGGACTAACCCTGTATATCATTCAAATCATCTTGGCATGACAAACCAGAATATATATGATTTAGGGGTGGGGATCTCGACCACTTACAAGATACTAGAACATTGAGGGTGGGGGGAACCCCTGGGGACTGACCCTATACGTCATTCAAATGTTAGAGACATGACGAAAAGGAATATATATGGTTTAGGGGTGGGGATCTCGACCATGTACAAGATATTAGAATTTTCTCAAATGGCAGGGGGTCGGGATGACCCCTGGGGACTAACCCTGTATATCATTCAAACCATCTTGGCATGACAAACCAGAATATATATGGTTTAGGGGTGGGGATCTTGACCACTTACAAGATATTAGAACTTTCTTAAATGGCAGGGGGTTGGGTTGACCCCTGGGGACTAACCCTGTATTTCATTTGATGTGCTTTATCATGACAAACCAGAATATATATGGTTTAGGGGTGGGGATCTCGACCATTTACAAGATATTAGAATTTTCTCAAATGGCAGGGGGTCGGGATGACCCCTGGGGACTAACCCTGTATATCATTCAAACAATCTTAGCATGACAAACCAGAATATATATGGTTTAGGGGTGGGGATCTTGACCACTTACAAGATACTAGAACATTGAGGGTGGGGGGAACCCCTGGGGACTGACCCTATACGTCATTCAAATGTTAGAGACATGACGAAAAGGAATATATATGGTTTAGGGGTGGGGATCTCGACCATGTACAAGATATTAGAATTTTCTCAAATGGCAGGGGGTCGGGATGACCCCTGGGGACTAACCCTGTATATCATTCAAACCATCTTGGCATGACAAACCAGAATATATATGGTTTAGGGGTGGGGATCTTGACCACTTACAAGATATTAGAACTTTCTTAAATGGCAGGGGGTTGGGTTGACCCCTGGGGACTAACCCTGTATTTCATTTGATGTGCTTTATCATGACAAACCAGAATATATATGGTTTAGGGGTGGGGATCTCGACCATTTACAAGATATTAGAATTTTCTCAAATGGCAGGGGGTCGGGATGACCCCTGGGGACTAACCCTGTATATCATTCAAACAATCTTAGCATGACAAACCAGAATATATATGGTTTAGGGGTGGGGATCTTGACCACTTACAAGATATTAGAACTTTTTTAAATGGCATGGGATGGGGGTGACCCCTGGGGACTAACCCTGTATTTCATTTAATGTGCTTTATCATGACAAACCAGAATATATATGGTTTAGGGGTGGGGATCTCAACCATTTACAAGATATTAGAACTTTCTCAAATGGCAGGGGTTCGGGATGACCCCTGGGGACTCACCCTGTATATCATTCAAACCATCTTAGCATGACAAACCAGAATATATATGGTTTAGGGGTGGGGATCTTGACCACTTACAAGATATTAGAACTTTCTTAAATTGCATGGGGTGGGGTGACCCCTTGGGACTAACCCTGTATTTCATTTAATGGGCTTCATCATTTAGAACATTTTCAATTAAAAAGATTGTGTCTATCACAAATGGTTTTCAATTTCTAATCATTTGAAAATTTGAAAATATAAAATCCCATAGGGTTCTATAGTAAAACCCTCTTTTCTTTTTGCCCCTCAAAGTACCCCTTTATAAACCCCATTGCACGAACAAAACCCTGATTGCACCACTAGACATGTTAGTCTAACATATTGTGAAACCCTAAGTTAATCTGACAAGCGGTTTTGGAGAACGGGTGCGGACAAGTTCAAATTTAAAAGCGGCGGAAGAAGAAGAAGAAGAATAATAATAATAAGAACTGAGCAAAAACAATAAGTCTTCCCAAACTTCGTTTGCGAGACTTAATTAACGTAATGTTGAAAGGATTGAATAATTTTACTATTTTTGAAATTCAGGGGCCAGATACATTATAATGGCATGTACAGTACAACCAAGGAGATTTAAGAAAATTATAAGGGTTCCGAGGAACCCTGTGCCTGACCTGCTATTGCTGCTGTTAGAGTAAAGTTGACCCTTAACCCTTAAATTATTTATGTCTTGAAAATTGAATCCAAGACTGTATTTAAATGTTAACTGCAAAATAACAAAATCCATTATTTTGCATCAGATATTATATTTTTATCATAAAAAGGCTAATCATGCTAATGGCAAAGTTTTATAAAATTATATGAGGTTTTGAAAAAGTTATTGATGTTTTAAAAACTTTAACATAGACAGTATCTAAATGTTTAACGCAAAAAAACGTCTTTTCATCAAGAAATATAAATGGTAAAATGAAAAAAAAATATTTTCTAAATTTTGCTATGTTTATTGTTTTTTTATCATAAAAAAACTTCTGTTCAAGTTTCATTAACTTCCATGAAGGTGCATGTATGACAAAATTATTGAGGCTTAAAAAAAACCACAGACTCAGATTTATGAACCTTAACATGCTTAATGTAAATGCCATGTACATGTAGGATCACTATGTCTAGCTTTCACGAAATGTTGCAGGCTTGACAAAAATTAGGTTTATACTCCCATGCTACCTTAATAATAGCCAGACTTAGTGGCAATAACCCTCAAACGATTTGTCATATGAGACTGGGGGAACTCCATCTGTACTACTAATCCTATTCTACAAGTCCCTGTAAACATTATTACATATACATTGTAGATATGCCACAACATTTTAACCAGTTTTCCCCATATATGTAACCATTGAAACCTGGAAAGACTCCAATCTAACTATAATATGAATGCTTCCATATGTGTAACCAATGTAGTCATTATGTCAATGGAGGTAAATTAATTCGGTGCACATTTTGTGCATTATATGGTAAACACACATCAAGTCCTGATAATCTCTACTTCTTCTAAGAGTATTTTTATATTCTGATTAAAATAGCCATCCAAGTCGTCATGTTTTTTTTTAGCAATACCTACAGTATGGTTTATACTAGTCCACTCTAAATAATTATGACGTCTTGCGAGGCTGTTATAATTTTTTGCTGTGATGCCTTCATACAACAGTATACAGCAAAAAACTTAAACAGCCTTTCAAGCCATCATAATTACTCATCCAGGTTCATTCGCCCAAAATCATGTTCGCTTCCATTCATGTTCGCCCTCTTTAACATTCACACCCTTTTTAATGGTTTTGTGTGGAATATTTTTTAATTGTGTTTTAGTTAGTATATTGCTTTAAAATAAAGATAATAAGATTTTATTGTTTTAATTGCTTTAAAATTATATAAAAGATAATAAGACTTTCAGTATTGTTTTAAAATAAAGTAACATTCTAAAAACGTAAACAGTTTTCTTTCAGTGTTTTGATCTAATTATTTTGACGAAATGAGAAATGAATATTGTTATGATGACCAACGGTCTAGTTCATTCTTCTAAGACCTGTAAAAGAAAGGCAGAAGATATCAAATGATCATCAAACTCGTCACAATGACATTGAAACTTGAAGCAACCATAAACATTAACATCTCATACAATCATTCAAATCATGCACTATTCCAAATCAAACTAGCACTAAAATATTTAGTAACTCTACACCTAAGCATAGATGTGGGTTTATACGTCTATGACCTAAGCTACAATGTAATTATAACAACAAACATGATTTTCAAACTCATAACAATAATACCAAATTAACAGTAATAATAAATAATTAAAATTTATTAATTAACCATCTAATCACAATAAAAAATACTCCATTTAAAAAATTCATGAATTTTTGTTCATGAAAATATAAATATTTTGATATATGTCTTAACAAGAGTGCACATGCTGAAATGTCTCACCTACTTTACTGACCATTGATTTTATGTTGATAGTCCTAAATATAAAGTTTTACTACAAGTATCACATAAATATTTATGATCCAAGAATATGAGGTCAAGGTCAGATAAACTTAGCCGGAAATACATGTACACCTTCAATAAAATCATTCCATACACCAAATATAGATAACCTATTGCTTATAGTATAAAAGAAACAGACCAAACCATGGAAATTATATATTGACCAATGAACCATGAAAATGAGGTCAAGGTCAGATGAACCCTGCCAGACAGACATGTACACCTTAAAATGATTCCATGCATCAAATATAGTTGACCTATTGCTTATAGTATCTAAGAAACAAAGTTAACCAGGAAAACTGAACATTGGCCAATGCACCATGAAAATAAGGTAAAGGTCAGATGATAACTGCCAGACAGACATTTACACCTTACAATCATTCCAAACACCAAATATAGTTGACCTATTGCTTAAAGTTTAAGAAATAAATGGGGAATGGGACACAGATGATGCAATTTTTCCATTTGTAGAGGGGCATAACTCTTAGAACGGTAAAAGTGAAGCCACCAAAATTCAATCTTGATCTGTGTTTTAAGGTAATAAGCATAGTTTATAAGTTTCATAACATTTGGTTGAGGCAAACTAAAGTTAGAGAACGGAAACGAAAAATTTTGCAATTTTTCCATTTGTAAAGGGGCATAACTCTAGAACGATAAAAGTGACCCCATCAAAATTCAAACTTGATCTGTGTTTGGTGGTAATAAGCATTGTGTATAAGTTTCATAACATTTGGTTAAGGCAAACTTAAGTTAGAGAACGGAAACCAATTTTGGGACGTACTGACGGACAGACGGACAAGGGTAAAACTTAATGCCCTCTTCGCTATGGCGGGGGCACAAAAACAAACCAAAGCACAAAAACTTAACATTAAGCAATGAACCATGAAAATGAGGTCAAGGTCAAATAAAACCTGCCAGACTGACATGTATATTGCAAAATATTTCCAAACACCAAATATATTGCGTTTCAATTTGGCAGTACATCGTAAGCCTATTTGAGTCTGACAGGCTGTAATGTAATATTGTACGAAAATGTATTCATTGTATATATATATATATACAGGTTGCACTATAATAAACCATTCATTCATATAGTTGACCTATTGCATACAGTATAAGAAAAATAGATCAAAACACAAAAACTTAACACTGTGCAATAAACCGTGAAAATGAGGTCAAGGTCAAATAAAACCTGCCAGACTGACATGTACATCATAAAATATTTCCATACACCAAATCTAGTTGACCTATTGAATACAGTATTAAAAAAACAGACCAAAACACAAAAACTTAACTTTTGCCACTGAACCATGAAAATGAGGTCAAGGTCAGATGACACCTGCCATAGAACATGTACACCGTACAATCATTCCAAACACCAAATATAGTAGACCTATTGCTTATAGTATCTGAGATATGGACTTGACCACAAAAACTTAACCTTGTTCACTGATCCATGAAATGAGGTTGAGGTCAAGTGAAAACTGTCTGACAGGCATGAGGACCTTGCAAGGTACACACATACCAAATATAGTTATCCTATTACTTATAATAAGAGAGAAATTAACATTACAAGAAATCTCAACTTTTTTTTCAAGTAGTCACTGAACCATGAAAATGAGGTCAAGGACAATGAACATATGACAGACGGAAACTTCATATCATAAGGCATCTATATACATTTGTACAAAAGTATGAAGCATTCAGGTCATCTACCTTCTGAAACATTAAGCTTTAAAGAATTTAGTTAACGCCGCCGCTGGATCACTATCCCTATGTCGAGCCTTCTGCGACTTGGCTCGACAAAAACATCTTTAAATTATTATTCAAACTGTATTTGAATAAAATTGTGTGCGAAACAAACCCAGGGGCAAACATGTGGCGTGCAAACTTGTATGGCGCGAATGTGATATGGGAGCGAACTGACCCGATAAAATAATTACTTGAACTAAATTTATATGAACTGTCTTTTTTGTTGATTGATTTTTACTTGCTTAGGTCCAGTGGCAAGTATTTCATGCATTTCTGTTCGACCTGTTGACAGGTAAACAGATTCTCACAGGCACTTATTTCATGCAATTGTAGAGGTTCGCTTCCTGTTTCTTTCCAAGAAACTTACGGAAGAATGAGGGAGAGGGCCTTTTCCATCGCACGAAACAAGTGCCTATGCGGAATTTCGTTTAAATAGGCTTAGCCTTTGGCTTCGAACTGACCAGCTGACGTAGCATGGTGTCTATTGGTGAATGTAAAAACAATTTAGAAAGAGTTTTAAGTTCATATTGAAATTTAATAAGATTGGGTAAATAATGTTACACTAAGACTGCAGGTGCTTTTTTATCTGAAGGTCCCGTGATCAGCTGTAACAATATTTTGACTTGTTTCGTTTTCTGAGTGTATTTCCGCAAGTTCCGGTTCGTACTGTTCACTGTTCTCGCCAGATTGTTCTCTGCTGAGAATACAAAGATAGTTTTTTTTGGGGCTAAAAACCACCAATTAGATAACCGACAACAACGTACTTGAACGAAAGTACTTTGGGGAAGGGGATATAAACAAAACAACCACAATTGGACAAACAAAATCAAAAGAAAAAACACAAGCACCCACATACAAAAGGAAGACTGACAATAAAACACAACTCGGCTGCAAGACATACTGAACCTGAACAGAAAAATAACCGAAGCCTGCCCGGTTTTGTTTTCTATCAATTTCAATTAAATTATTATTTTCGCGTTTTTCTGCATTATGTGAACATAAATATACTAGAATAACTTGTAATTTGCTATCAATTCCAAGTGTACTTGTAACAGATAAATTAGTCCTGGTAAAATGTGTCCGGGCGGACACATACTACTAGTATAAAAAGTCCGGCTGGTTACAGAGTTTACTCAGTGGTATTGTTAGTCCGATGTCACTAGCTGAGTAATTTATGTCCTCAGATTAATTTTCCTAGGAATTCATGTCCATGTCATTAATATTGCTAGGTAAAAACTCCCATGTCCTTTCTTTTACTAGGAAAATTTGTAAGGAAAGAAATCATTTACATGCCAGTAAACAATGGAATTTTAAATTGTTAAGCTTTAATATTGTATAACAGTTAAGCATTACTCTTCTAATAAGATTTATGTCCCCAGACTAATTTTCCTAGAAATTCATGTCCATGTCACGAATATTCCTAGGTAAAAACGTTCATGTCCTTCATTATTAGGAAAATAAGTGGACTTTTTTCCTAGGAAATTTTATCCTGGGAATTACATTCCTATGAAAATTTTGGTCATGGACTTGATTACCTAGGAAAAAATGTCCAGGGGACAAATTGTACTACCACTGAGGCCGAATTTACTGTTACGTTCTATCCACAGCTGTCACTGAGATATTGTAATACAGAAAACGCAACAATAATTGAAATTAGTAGAAAACAAAAAAAATAATGGATGTTAGAAATATGGGGCAGGCATAAAAAAATGTCCTGTCACAAGTTCATATGTTACACTGGAGTAATATTCAATTTAAGTTTGCCAATGGTCACTTCTGTACAAAATTGTTCAAATGATGTATATTACGATTGTCAAAATAATAGTAATTCTATAGTCTGTTAATGAATTACACATTTGTCTTTATGTAATTAGTTAAGGTTCTAGCCCACATTGTGTTACACAGCCAAATAATATTATTTGATTTTTCTTTACTTTTTTCGACTTCTTTTCAACCTTGATTCAACCGTTTAAAACTTCAACATTGAATGGATTTTGGACGTTGAACGTTTTGCATGAAATTTCTTTCATAGTTGATGTATATGTTACAGTGAATTTGTAGAATTAGGGATTATGTATAATCCCTGAAAATAGTAGAATCACTGGTAACTTTAGTGATTATGTATAATTTATAGAATTTTCAGGAATTATACATAATCACTAGAAAAAATGTCAGGGATTATACATAATAACTGGAATGAAGAGGCAATGAATAAAAGTAAAATAATTTATTCTATAAAATCATATTTAAACATCTTTAGAAACATATATATGTTACAGTGAATTTGTATAATCAGGGATTCTACATAATCCCTGAAATTTTCAGGGATTATGTAAAATAACTGGTTAGTTTAGGGATTATATATAATCACTGAAATTTTCAGGGATTATGTATAATCACTAGAAAAGACGTCAGGGATTATACATAATAACTGAAATGAAGAAACAGTTTTGTGTATGAAGAAAATGAATGTAAGTTAAACTAAATAATTTATAATATCAAATCATAATAAAACTTCATTATAAACATCCTAAAATATTTCCATACACCAAATTTGTAGACCTATTGCATACAGTATAAGAAAAACAGATCATAACAAAAAAACTGAACTATAACCACTGAACCATGAAAATGAGGTCAAGGTCAGATGACACCTGCCAGTTGCAAATGTACACCTTACAATCCTTCCATACACCAAATATACTAGTCCTATTGCTTATAGTAACTAAGATATGGACTTGACCACCAAAACTTAACCTTGTTCACTGATCCATGAAATGAGGCCGAGGTCAGGTGAAAACTGTCTGACGGGCATGAAGACCCTGCAAGGTACAATGTACGCACATACGAAATATAGTTATCCTATTACTCATAATAAGAGAGAAATTAACATTACAAAAAATATTTAACTTTTTTTCAAGTACTCACTGAACCATGAAAATGAGTTCAAGGACAATGGAAATGTGACAGACAGAAACTTCGTAACATAAGGCATCTATATACAAAGTATGAAGCATCCAGGTTTTCTACCTTCTAAAATATAAAGCTTTTAAGAAGAAAGCTAACGCCGCAGCATCACTATCCCTATGTCGAGCTTTCTGCGACAAAAGTCGCAGGCTCGACAAAAATGATAACCTTAAAGTATAATAAAAATGTTAGGCATAATATTTTAAAATGTCACACAAAATTAAAATATTAAGCACTATACATGTATATTAAAATGATAACCTCAATATATTTTACACAAAATACAAAAATGTTAAGCACAATATATTAAAACATTCATTAAATAAATTTGGATGGCAGAAACTTTTGCACATTTGCCCTGTTTTTCTACAGGCACATCTACCTGATTCGCATCTGTTTTACTACACTATCCACATTAAAAAAAAAACCTTGTCTTTCTCATATCGAATCAGATTTTACGGCATGTCTAAGAGAAATAAAGTTTGTAATACAATCATATGAAGGTACTCAAAAAAAGGGAATCAGCAGCCGTGAACTGATTGCTGATGCTAGCAGAATTCTGTTGCGTTATTTCTCTCAGAATTGAATTTCATGTTCTTTATCCCCTCTATGGACAACGCCCTCAATTCAACTCGAATCAACCACTGATTTGCTATAAAAACTAGTATACTTATGAGACGCAAATCATATAAATGGTACTTCTGTTTTTGTATATCTAGTTTTGACAACTTTTGCTTTTCACAAAATATATATTTGTTTCGTCAAATATTGAAGACTATCTATTTTTAGATCCATGCCCACCAACCCCGTCCCCTCCTATAGTACTGCATAATGCTGTAAAGAGTGTAATATGTATGAAATATATAGGATAATAGCAGCCTTAAAACAATTTAAATATATACTTTGTTAGCAGATAGAATTAAGCAGGATTTTAGTCTTTTTTACTTGGTTCTTTTGTCATCAAAGTGTAAATACCATTTTTTGTTCCTTGTCCATAGCTTGCATTTTGTATTTTCCTCTGCCATACTTATTTGTTTGTGAAAATATTGTGGTTCAACATACAGTTAAATAAAATATCACTGGTAAAACCTTTCCCTTATTTTTTTTTCATTTGGTAATCCCTGAAATCATATTAGGGAATTTGTAAAATAATTAGTAAAATGTTCAGTGATTATGTAAAATCACTGGTCATTTTCAGGGATTATATATAATCACTAATGAGTTTAGTGATTCTACATAATCCCTGAAAAACCAGGGATTCTACATAATCCCTGATTATACAAATTCACTGTAACATATATATATCAAAATATTAAGCACAATATTTTAATACAAATCATTAATTTTTACAAACTACTTTGTAAATTTTTATGACATCTACTATGAGGATCTGGATGGGGGTCCCTCATTGCTTTATTCTTAAATTTTTACATCATTTTTCTCTATACTGTATATTTTAGCACACTATTATTCTGTATTCTTATCTTTTTTGCTTATTTTTGTCTTTTCTTTATTTGTTCATTCTGACAAGCATGTGTTCTGTTAGTGTTTCTGGACGTTTAGTTGCATTTCTTTGCTTAGTTCGAATTCCTTGTTCGTAAACTTTCATCCCCTTTGTTTTACAGCAAATTACATGATCTGTGCATTTATGTTGGTATTATTAATATCAAATTTAAAATACTTATTTGTTGTGAGTAAATGTGATTTAACACATTTAAATAGAATATCGTTCGAAAAAACTGTTCACTTTAATAAGATTTGATAAATGGATAGGGCATGAAAACTGCCCACTTAAACCACAACGAGGTTATAATACGATTTATTTATCTGTATTTGATTTCTTTTTTACAAAACAGAGAATCTTTGTATTATTGATAATCCCTGAAAACATTCCAGGGAATTTGTAAAATAATTCTCCAAATTTTCAGTGATTATGTAAAATCACTGGTCATTTTCATGGATTATATATAATCACTAATGATTTTAGTGATTATGCAGAATCCCTGAAAAATCAGGGATTCTATACATAATCCCTGATTATACAAATTCACTGTAACATATATATATACACATGTTTATATTGTTGAAAAAAGTTTTTCGCAGCTTATGTCTACCATTTTGTGCGTAATCGTTTTCCAGAGTGATGATATACATTGTCGAATAATATATATTATTTATATATATATATTATATATGTTGGTTTTAAGGAAACATGTAAAATGAGTAAGAAATATAAGGCTCATATTATTTAGACTTTCCACCATTCAAATTCCACCAGATTTTGATCCTCATGTTTCTGATTTTGACTTTCTGACTGATACAAATGACTTCAAATCTATGTTTGGTATCACCTTTTAATACAATTTATACAACTCGAAGATGCTTCAAATGAAAAATGAAGCTCTTGCTTAGCTCGTCAAACAAACTTAGTATATCTAAAGTTTAATCTGAATTGCTTACATTCAAACAAAGACTTACAATTCAAAGACCACAACCACTAAAACAACCAATCGAACAGTTATTTTTACCTTATGCCAAGATGCCTTCCCCTATTCTATTCACATTCGTCGTCCACTCTTTTAACTTCTCAGTATTACTAAAGAGATATTTCATTTACTTGATACATATATGGTAACTGTTTCCTCTCTTCATTTTTCTAGATTTACCTATCTGAATACACGTAAACA